ATTACTGTCCTATCATGGCCAGCACAGTCTCCAGACCTCAATCCCATTGAACATCTTTGGGAATTACTCAAGAGAATGCTTGCTGCCTATCAAGACCCACCTAATGGACTATTTCAGTTATGAGAGAGAGTTGTAGTAGAGTGGGGAAAGATTGCTAAGGAGGAGTGTCAGAAATTGATAGAAAGTATGCCTAGGAGGGTAGCAGCAGTCATTAAAGCTAAGGGAGGAAACACTAAGTACTAGAATTATAGAGATTATGTATAATTGATTCAAACTCAAAAAAGTGTCCCAATGAGTCACCTAATTAAAATAGCCATATCTTCGCACGGCGTCAATGGATTCTCACGCTATAGGGGACATAATTGTAGCCGAGAAGCGGAGCTTTTTGGGATTTCCCTTTGGCTTAGTCAGATTCTCACACCCTGGCTCGCAATAACACAATTACATGAAAACCTACAAACATTGGGACACTTTTTTGAGCCACTGTACTCGTGTTTACCAGGAACACGACACACTTCTTCCTGATGACCATTGGATTTGGGCTGATAGTGCATATCCACTTGAGAAGTGGTGTATTCCACCTTTCAAGAAGCCTCGGAATGGCAGGTTGACAAGGGACCAGAAGACCTTCAATATTCACCTATCCAGGGTATCTTCTAATTTTTCTGCTGATTTTTTTGGAATTTTTACTGATTTTCATTGATTTTAATTCATCTAGGTCTGTGTCCGCATTGAGCACACATTTGCTGCTTTGAAGGGGCGTTTTCAGTCTCTTAAGGAGCTTCGTCACCCTATGCAGACCCAGAAAGACCTCCAGATTACTCTACATTGGGTTAGGTGTTGCCTTATCCTTCACAACATGATCATCAACTTTGAAGAGAAACGCAACAAACCTACAACCAGATGGGCCATTCAAGAAGGGAAACATACTCTGCATCCAGAATATGAAGGACCAGATGGTAATGAAGTGGTGAGTGATAGCTCATATGCAGGCACTCCTGGTCAAGCACACAGGGCCAGGTTGATGGATCAATTATTTGATAGTCCTCACTCAGATGCTCAGCATAGGCAAGGATAAGTTGAAACAGGTATAGCTTTGACATACAAATGTACTACATACATGCTAGTAAGTAGGTTGTAGGATTATCAAATAGTGGTGAACAAATGACAACATGTAGCAAAAAGAAACGGCAAAAAAAAACATATGACAAAGTGCATGCAGGAACATCATGGCTTGTTGATCTTGGCATATTCAATGCGCAAGAGCATCACCTGCCTCTCTAACTCGAGAGCCTTCACATCCACTTCCTGCAAACAAATCTCCTGGTCCTTGCTCTCCTGCAGCTGTTGATGGATGAGCGCGGCATCCACGCGCTCATGGGCGTGCTCCTCGCATATGAAATGGTGCTCCTTGTCTTGGCGATTGGCATTGAGCTTGACCATCAGGCGCTCATTCTTGAGCTGGTATAAGGCGAGCTTCTCGGAGTGCACACTCTCTAAGTCGTCATTCAACAACTCAACTTGTTCCTGAACCTCCATTCGGAGACACTTCTTCACTGACTCCCTGCTGCTCGGTCTCTCGGAGGGCGATGTTTGGGACGTCAGAGATGCCTGCCAAGGGGAGGACGGATTGGACCGTTGCAACAAAGCCTTCGATGAAGAGGTGGGGGAAGAAGCGCTCTTGTGCATGATCATGTGATTGACGTGGGACTTGAATGAGCTGCGACTGTCGTGGTTGGAGGTGTGGGGAGGGGGTGCCTTGGGAGGCGACAGAGTGGGAGAGGAAGGTAGCTGTCGCTTCTTTCTGCATGCCTTGTTCGATTTGGGCGGGCTGTCCAAATTATACACATTCTCCTTGTCACAACGATCTGTGTCGTCCATACAAAGGTCCCCCATACCATGAGCAAGGGGGCCATCATCGAAAGGTGGGTCATAGTCAGATTCCTGGGGGGCCGGAGAATAATCTTCACAGCCGAATGACTGGCTACTGGGAGGAAGGGGCGTATGGCCAAAGTGGAGGGGGGAGCTTATCGTGCTGCCTGCACAGTTGCTTGCGGGAGCTTGAGAAAAGCCCCATTGTGGGGAGGAGCCAGCGGCAGCGCCGCTGGCTCCCTGAGCATATTGAGGGGAGTGGTTTGGTTCTAGGGGGGTAGCAGGACCACTTCGGGGAAGAGGCACATAAGGCATTTTCACAGGGGAGTCAGCTGGGCTGCCTCCAACACTTGGAGGAGGGCGGGCATAGTTCATTTGTTGGACGTGAGTGTTGTCACCTGCGCATGAGGTAGAAGGACCTGAGGGACGAACCATGTAATCAAGCTGCGGGGAACCAGCACTGCCTGTGGCAGGGTTAGGGATGATTATGTTGAGTTGCGGATGGGTGTCTGAAGGAGGGTTCCGCGAACCTCCCGCAGGACGAGTTAGCGCGAATAGGTCACCGGTGTGGTCAGCACCTGGTTTCGATGAGCTTGTTTTGGCAGAAAACGAGGGGTTGGATCCCCATATCTGGTAGAGGTCATTGTACCATGGAAATTCTTTCTTGATTTTACCTATGAATTTGTTAGCAGTATTGATAAGACATGAGTGGGATACTCACGATGTAAGTTGTCAGACATCTCCGAGTCAATTGGCACGATGCCCACACCTGTAGACTCGAATTCAGCACGAATATCGCGGAATTTAGTCCGTAGACTTCAGATCATCCAGTTAGTACAGTTGCAATAGATGGAGAAGTACTTATGATGCGATGCGATTGGCCACAGAGTCACGGAACTTGATGGGATTGGTGGCATACCAACTCCCATACGTAGCATCGTTGTGAAAGATTACCTTTGCAATCACACAGTGTTAGGGATTAGCGTGGGTATACCCATGGGTATCTGTGGTGATACTCCCACCCACACCCACCAAAAAACCCACACCCACACTGGTGGGTGTGGGTTTATTCATGGGTACCAGGGATGGCTACCCATACCCATACCCATAGAGGGTATACCCATGGGTACAACATGAACAATTGGTACTACACACTTAGATATCTTAATGAATGTTGTAGTAGTACTGGAGACAAATATACTGCTAGTCTCACCTTGTTAATTGGCAGTCATTTGAGAGAGATAAAGCTAAATAAAAACCCAACACCAGTAAGTCTCTGAAAAATGCAACAATAAAAGTTGACATTATCCTTGTAATACTAGTTGAGACAAGTCTGTTGTGAGTCTTATTTTGTTAATCAGTAGTAATTTGAGCAAAATGAAAATACATATTGATGAGTTTGGCCAAACACAAGTTGTTATTATCATTACGTATCTTGATGAAAATTGTAGTGCTATGTAAGGTGAGTCTATGGCTAGTTTATCTTATCAATTCAGGCCATACTGTCATATTAGTGCATTAATACATGGTAGTTACAAGATATATGTTGTGCATTAACCATTATAAGTATGATGCATTACCGTGGTGCAATATCAGTGGCAAACCCTAATGCATTAACTTGTTCGGATTCAACGTTTTGATTCCGGTAAGCACGGCCAGTACTTCTGCTATATAATAGCGCTTGCTGACATCTGCTGCCACTTTCCCTCCTTTGTACTTGCCTGCTATCAGGAGCGCTCGGGCCTCTTGATACTTCGCCTCGTCTATACTGTGGTCACTCTCATTTCCGACAATGACCATTCAGTTACCCTTCTCGCCAAAGTCGAAGGCCCTGGATAGTAACCTTCCCAATATTTTTCATGGGAGCGCCAGACACTACGAACACTATGATCAGGCAATTTCTGAGCAATGTCAGGAGAGCTTGATTACCTCTTCGTGGATATGCCTCTGCCCCATTTCCCAGCCATGAAAAGAGTCTTCACAGGTGCACTTTCCATATTCTCCTGTTGCGTGGATCATTGTATTAATGCTTGTTTTTAAGGACTTATTTCGAAGATGGGAATCTCCCCCGCTGAAATCGAGGACATGCTCCTTGCTCACCTGGACAGGCTCATTATTGATGTGTCTGTCGCAGGCATTTCCAGCAGGTGCACATGGGACGAGTGCATCTCGCGTGCGTGGGTCATGCTGCCAGCAAGTCGAAGAGCAAGGCCATCTCATCGTGAAGGAATATCACCATTATACCAATACATTCGTCCAGAACAATCACGAGGTAGGAAAGTCGAGATGCTGCTGCTTTTGACTGACCCTAGCGCAAATGATCTAGCACTTTTCATTCGGGGACAGCGAACTCGTCAATCGAGCTGCTTTCCGGACCCACATCCAGAATTTACTCGCTGACCTGCAAAGGATGGCCCACTTTTCCTGATCTTTCACGATAACAACCAGGACATCAAGTGAAACTTCTTACTTCCAGATATAAAGCCCGGGGGAGATTGATAAGTCCGAGCACAAGCCAAAAAGGGCACTTACGAGCGACATTTTGATGTTGCCTTGTGCCCTACAATATATTTTTCGTTTCTGTACCTTCAACTAGTGTCTACTTTGTAACTCCTTCCTTTGATAGATGGAGTTCAGGTGGCAATTCACGAGTTCTAGAACCAACACAGAAAAATCCGTACCCATTTACCCATGCAGTTATCTAGTGCTACTCAGCTATCAGATCTTCGTAGTCACAGGCAATGTCATTGTAAATTCACTACATTGAGTCAAAACATTGTAAGAATCAGCATGGAGCTAGTCATTGGGTAGTATTGCGCGCAATCAAACAAAGATCATCAGACTGAAGTTGAAGACAGGAAACGAACAAGATGAGTACTGCGCCGAAAACGAAGAAAATGAGACCAAAGTTGAAGATGGACTAAGTGAAAACATTGTACAGAATCAGCATGGAGCTAGTCACTGGGTAGTATTGCGCGCAATCAAACGAAGATCATCAGACTGAAGTTGAAGACAGGAGACGAACAAGATGAGTACTGCGCCGAAAACGAAGAAAATGAGACCAAAGTTGAACATGGACTAAGTGAGACGTGAAAAAACGAGTTCAACAAATCCTTCAAGGACATGAATCAGGGCCGCCTTTTCTTCCTGGATGAACTTCAGTCCAGCTAACTCTAATCATAAGACTGAAACCTACTTGTTCATGGCGCTGATAGCAGTGGCTGCCTTCCTCTTCATACCACTGGCAGACTCGGATGATACATTCTCTTTACCCGAGCCATTCTCTACTGCCGGGCATATACGAGACTTCGAAGATCCAATAGCGTTAAGTGCCTGGTCACGTTTTGATGGGACGTGACGGCGCAGTGTTCGACGTGGGCCGTCCAAGTCAGACTGTGGGGCTAGGGATTGGTGCACGAGAGCCTGAGGTGCTGAAGGTGTGTGAACTGGCACAGGTATTTTAAGTGTGGTGATGTCTGGATTTAAGCTGGTAAGGGTTTCTCCGAGAATGGGGCTTGAATGGGGCAAGAACATCTCAAAGTCACTGTCTGACAAAGAAAAATTGAAATCACCGTCGGAGCCCTCACTACCAACCGTCGACGAGAATAAAAAATCATCAAGTTCAGACCCAGGCCCTGGGCTGAAGCTGGAAACTTCAAGATGCGGTGCTAACGGAGGGAAGTTTAGACTGTCGAGATCCTGTTTTGTTATGGTAGCGAGGAGCCTATCAAACTCGGCAAAATCGGCCATGCTGAAGGCAGCTGGGATCTGGGGGTATTTGATAATGGTATTGTCCCCTTGGATGATGTCGTGAATCGGAGTTGATGGAACACTGGGCACTGCTGATATGTCATCCATGAGTGAGTAATCCTAATGCATCAAGGCCAGAGAACATGATGCATTAGTAGCGTTCCTGAGTCAGTAATGCATTACTCACGAAGGCGATCAACTTAGAGGGTGTTGTAAGGTCTGATGTGGTGTTTCCCTGATGCATTAGTGTAATGCATTAATGTCAGACCGCTTCGACATTGTGCATTACTCACCTCTTGCACCACATTATAAGAGTCGTTCTGGGACTCTTCCTCGTCACTTTGAATGTCCCTGCCATCTTCTACCTTGTCCTCACTATCTTGAATATTGTCTCTTCCTTCAGCCTCTTCCACTCCACTGCGCCTGTCGGATATGTCGTCTGCCCTCGCTAATGCCTCCATGTTGTCATCATGGGCTGAGTGCAAATTTCACTTCTAGTCAGTCCATCATCTGTATTAATGAACGAAACACTTACTGAGTGCCTCGTTCACGAACGTAGCATATGCAGCTTGAACTTCCGAGAATTTAGGGTAGTGAGCTGAGAAGTCTGCTCCATCTTCAGTATCGCCAAGGTGAAAGCTGAGGCTTGGTAAGCTAATTGACCTGTGAGAGACTGAAGAAACTTACTCTAAAACAACCGCTTCTCCAGTGACAGGGTTTCGTCCACCAGCAATACAAGTAAACTTGAGGCCCCCTGTTTTGTGAGATAGGTGCCGGAAAACACGATCAAGGTGTCCTCCAAGCTCTAAAAAAGCCCTGAGTGATGCATCAGCTCACACTATCTATCACAGGAAGTAGGTGTGCACTTTATTTTTGTCTCTTCGTTGACTTCCTCCATGATCCCGGCTTTGTTCCACTTGCGAGTTTGTCTCCACTTCTCTAGGGCTACTTGGTGCCTTCGCCTTACCTCTGCTTTGATTTCTTCAGGCTCTTTGGAATATTTATCACGGGTGACAATTCTTCGCATTAACAATTTGTCACCACGTGAAGTGATGGTCTCAGAGGCAATCAAAGCATCAGCATCCGCTTTGACGCGACCTTCATAATGGATATGTGAGTAGATTTCGACTTCCTGTGGAGCACGTGTCCCTCTCATTTCATCTCCAGCCAATATGGTATCGAGCCTTAAGACACCACCAGATCTGCCTGAGCGGGCCAGATGTGCAACATTTGTACGCCACCGAAACCAGTTTTTAATGGCCTAGAATTTTTTTAAACATGTACGTGTATCATAATGTAATGATTCAACTCACAGATTTTCGTTTCAGGATTGCTTGTGCCATGTGAGACTTCTGTATATCACTGAGCTCGCCTTCCTGTGGGATATCAGTTAGACGTGCTCTCTCCGGCCAACGGCTTAAAAATTCGCGGATCGTAGTATTCCAAAAGTTGTGGTAAACCTTTGTTGCCTGACAGGCGATATAGCCAGGGAGCTGACTGTGGAGGAAGGCCTCCTCCTCAGGAGTTGTCCAAGTTTTTGGGCCACAACGAGGCATTGCAGTAAGAAATTGCTTTGTGGGGGATTATCGAGGGGGCGGTGATTTTAAAGGTGGGCAACTGGTGTAGAAATAAATAAAAAATAGACTTTTATCATATTCTACTGTGTACGAGTAAAATGTCCGATAGTCAAGGTTTCGCATTACGGTGTAGGTTCATCAGATGTGTGGTATTAAAAAGGTCAGTCTTTTCGCATTACTGTGTGGTCTGGACTCTGGATGCAGTATGTTGTGCACTAGCCTCTTTGATATGAGCGTGAATTGAAAAAAAAAAAAATTGTAACAAAGTACCCTCTTCAATATGAGCGCAAATGAAATTTAGCGGCGACTTTCTTTGTCACGGGTGAAGGTTCCAAGGCCGTCCAAAGGAAGTCGGACAAAATAACTTGACCAGCGCCACCACAAGTGACGTTACTGCCGAACATGATGAGTGCAAGGTCATCACGCACCGTATGAGAAGGTGGTACGCTCGAATGACCACCCAGAGTTGAAAGTGTGATTTGAAGATCAAGATAGCCCTTCTCAGATATTGAGGGAGTCGCAAAAACAATGCTACCAATATCGGTGTAAAGATCTAACACAGAGTTCAATTGTGCCAGTTATCACGAGAGAATTGTTCATATCATCACACAAGTGCATTGAACATTATTCCTCTGGACATCTGGCCATCAGTAATTAAAATAGATGTACATACGTTCGAAGTTCCAGAACCTGGTCAATATCACACCGGAAGACGTCGACGATGTGAACAGAAACCTTGGCACTTGAACGAGCGCCCTATCAATTCCCTGGTGAAGTGTATCCTCTGGTTGGCACACTGGTTAAGATTGAACTAGGAGAGATGGGTCAGTATAGACATAGAAGACGATGATATATTTGGTTGAAGGGAGTGAACAAAAGAAGAAAGGTACCCAGGTTCAGACAGACTCATTGCAACATTGTGCGTATCATCAACCCAAGATCATGGCATCTTCTTACTCGATGAACCACTGAAACATGAAATGGATGCCCTACGTTTATCTGAGTGTGCAGGATACTCACTGAAGTCTTTGGAACAAGGCTCAGCAATAGCTTTGTTCACCAGCTCTTGTAGCTTTCGGTAGAGTCAGCATCCACGTATATGTGTGATAGTGCCATCATTGGTAAGGTGATCAACGTGCCCCGAAATGATGGTGCATGCTGCGGCAGAGCTAATTCAGAGCGGGGCCCTTCGTGAGTAGTCGTTTGCATGCCTTTCTAAGTGAGTTGACTATGCGTTTGTTCCGCGACAACCACAATGACTATCAAAATAGACGACATTAGAATACAGAAATACAGGAACGTAGGTTATACCTATCAAAATAGATGAGCACGAAACTGAGAAAGGGGAGAAAGCCGAAATGAAAAAGGTGTAAGTACTGGTACTACGAAAAAGGAAATGTGATCGAAAGTCAGCAGACAGCGTTCATGACAGGTAGTCAGTAGACTCATATCAACGGAAATCTCAGTCAAACAATCTGATTTGCAATTGAGCAGCCTTACAGTGCATGCTCAATACTGCAAGAATCCAAGCTTGTGCAGTTCAACTGTTAACATGTTCAATTGAAGGTCCGTGCGTAATACATATCTTATTGCTCAAGTATTTCGTACTTCACCACACTCGAACCAACTTCAATATTTCAAAAGTCCACTTGCCTGCGACTCGGAGTTTTAATGAACTCTCCTCTTACCATCATCAGTGCATTATTACTATTGTCGACTGACTTACTCGTCGCCCGCCTACCTTGAATTCTCTCATCCCTTTCTTCCTCGTCACGACGACTCAAATGATGTGAGTTTTTTTGCCTTGGTCGTGTCAGTACTAGATGAAAATGTTCGAAACAGGGCGCATATAACCACTCCGAGTCATTCAACTCAATCTTCTAGTACCTGACATGTCTCGTGCCATGCCAGTACATTTGTTTTCAGTAATGCTACTCTCATTCACTGATCTGTTGTCAGCCTAGGTTTTGGATGTTGCTTCGAGCTTTGTGACATCATGAGGACTTCTGCTCGTTATGGTTCGGGCACCAATAAATACCACGAATGCTGTCAAGCGGTGTCATTTTCATTCATTTCATCGTGCTCTATTCTTATTGTTACAGAACTATGACATTGAAGCTTCGAATCTGGTAGTGTCATTTTCATTCATTTCATCGTGCTCTATTCTTATTGTTACAGAACTATGACATTGAAGCTTCGAATCTGGTAAGTACTGATCCTATTCCTATTAATGTATGCTCATTTGTGTATTCCATCTAGGTTACTGACCGCATGTCGTCCGCAAATACGGTCAAAGTCCCTGCAAAGTTCTCTAGTGGCACGTTTCATTAGCCGGGCACCGGGTAGGACAATCCTAGAGGGAGGAACTAGCGCAAATGAGTGCGGGTAGATTTTATTCCCATGTTTTGTATTGTATGTCATGTTGCAATGCATCGATTTCCGTATATTTGCGTCGAGGCCAGCAAAATATCAAAGGGATACACAGTTATATTCAAATCTACGGAATCCTATACAGTAGTCAATGCATTGAAAAGCATACACCAGCGTTGATGCGCATCGTTTTCGCAGCTACAGAAAGCGCAGATACCAACGCGTATCTACGCAATAAGAAGTGTCACAGCCACAGTATTATGGAAAGCAGGATGGCCGTGCTCGTTTCTCTTATGGATGCCGAATTATGAATTTTGAATTTTTATATTTGGCCATCTAGGCTCACAAAACGGAAGGCGCAGTCATGTGATCAAGAAAAAGTGCCATGTGGCTTGTGTCAGGTGACGATCGAACACTTGTTTACAAACTTTACCGTAAAATTTTCACTGTCCCGCACTCCACTCACTTTACCCACCAGAATTCGCACTTTACTGCACTTTACTCTACCTCGCGCCTGTCCTTCCGCCCTCCCCATCCTACTCAGTTGCCATAAATGGTGACTTAGACAATATGGTCACATGACACATGATGTCTCTTCTCCGTCGCCTCCCATCTTCCTCGATGGTCGTTAATGTTGGCCCCCTGTATTGCACACACCCTTCCCCAGTAGCGAAATTTATAGGTAAGTGATCTTCCTTTATTGCTCGCTTACCCCACTGACCCTGCACCAGAATTCTCCCTGTTCATCGTGAAATTGTCCTGGGTATCCTATTCTGCGACCTGATTGGCTTTCACACTTACAATTATACTCGTCCCACAACGCGCAGAACTTAGAGAAGGAATCTGTCCAATCTCGCATCGCTCAACTGTAACAGTGTTTCAATGGTGTCAAAGCTCAACGAACTATTCAGATTAATCTTCAAACATGTTGTTTGGGGCAGGGTAGGCTCTAATTTATGTTTTCAAACCTACAGCTCAAGTCATCTAGTACCAATGTCTTTGGCACTAGTAATACCGGCGCGTCCATCTTCGGGCAATCTAACGTGCCAAAGCCCACCACTTCGCTCTTTGGAAATACACAGCCTTCCTCTGGAGCGGGAACCACAATGACGGTCTTCGGTGGTTTCGGCGTGCAACCTCAAACACAGACACAGCAACCTGCTCAAGGAAGTTCTGTGTTTGGAGGAGGTGCTTTCGGACAGACACAGCAACAACAGCCATCCGGACCAACTTCGATGTTTGGGCAACAAAGACAATCATTGTGAGTTTCTTTCGCATCATTCTAATTCAAATTGGTGTTGACATATCACAGGATGATGAGGTTAGTCAAAGGTACTTATATTCAGGGTGGCTTCAATGACATTCGAGTAGTACCACACCCATAACCGGACCTGCACCTTTTTCAAAATCTACGAAGTTTAATGATCTTCCGGATGATATCAAGAGGACGTTTGAAACTATCGAGTACGCTAATCATAAGTGCTAACATGTCCTAGGACTTACTTCGCATAGCTCGCACATTCAGGGACGTATACAAATAAGCAATGAGCTTACACAGCAAAAAATGGGGGAAGAGGCGATCAAGGGCCAGGAGTTAATTCGCGAATTGCACAAGGTGCGCCTCATTTTATTGCATATATCCAGTATGCTCAGTTACCGACTTTATCGATTCAGGAGCTGCTTGGTGTATCCTCCGTTATTCAGTCGGACTCTCTTTTCGCCAAGGACCTGAAAGTGAAGACTGAACAAGCAGTTCAAGACATGATTGTCGCAACCAACATCATCGAGTATGCCATATGACCGTGATGAGGAGCCCGAAGATTCCAAATCAAATGAAATAGTATTATGACCAATGACTCAGCTCCAACTTGGCTTCGCTACTTCGCCTCGATCAATAATGCAGTGGAGAAGCGCCACTCCAACTTTAAGTGACGTAACAGCAAAAACCGTGTTAGAAAAACCATTGATGCTTTCCTCAACGTTGTCCCTAGAATCATTTGAAAATTTAAATGACTGCAGCGAAGTTCTACTTAAACCAATGACTCACCAATTATTAAAAACACCAATGTATCGCCCACGGGTTACACAATAATATGGTGACAATGGTGCGGTGTCAGCTGGTACATTGTACAGCACACCGCCGTAAACATATAAGAAACAATCATCAGCCATAGATCTGACAATCTCTTTGTACATTGGATCATCTCGATGTACCCACGTGATGTCTTGTTACTTAAGGGTCTTATATGAAAGTTGTGTATAATGACAACACAATTATACACGGTGAAGACTTCTTGCCAGTCCTTAAGTCCACGGTCTCCGACTTTTCTACTTCGTGGGAGGTAATGTGGTGAGTTCTTGGGAGGATTTAGTTTGTTGTCCTCTTCCTGTGTAGTCTTATACGAAGTTGTTGTGGAATGTTCTGTGTTCTGGATAAATTCGTTAGGTTTGTTTCAGCCTAGTAGGTCGTGTTTCAACCTATGAAAGTCTGTTTCAACTTTGTCGTCCTTAGATGTGTCTCACTTTCCGTTGAAAGGGAGAGTCTTATGAATACACGTAAAGCTTAGAATGAGAGCTGTTCAATGGTTATATAGTCAACCCCTGTAAGGTAGTATATAACCTAGAGTAGAATAACGATAATGAAAGTTATATAGTCGACCCCTGTAAGGTAGTATATAACTTTAGAATAGATAATGATATCTTAGATTACCTCAAGGCACTTATATTGGCCTGCACTTTAAGTCTTAGTGGTCTCACACGGTTTGAGATAAGAGTCAAGTGGGAGGATTGTATTTCATGGGTGAAAATGGGGTCCTTTTATACCTTTTGGGAACCCCCTTACTAAGCATGATTAATCAGATGGATTGGTAAGAATGTGGCTTACAAACCAGGTGATGAATCAGCTTATTACTAAGTACATTACAAATACAGTGTAATCTTACAAAGAAATTAGAAACCATGACAAACCATGACTAAACATGTTGAGTCATGTTAAATGTTGTTACAAAGCATGGCCAATCATGACTAAACATGCTGAGTCAGCTTAAATAATGTTACAAACCAGAATATTTCCCAGTCACATGATGTGATGACAAATAAAAGCTGGTGGCTGAAAGAAGCCAAATACAAATAAACAGTCAGAAATAAATAGAGATACAAAACTTGGTGGCTGAAAGAAGCCAAATAAAAATAAACAATGAGAAATAAACAGAAGGTCACATGCTTGATACAAATACAAGGTAAAATAAGCCTGTAAAGTGAGAAATAAAATACAAGACAATGAAATAAAGGAAAAATAGAGAGGTAACTTAGTGACAAAGGGCTAGACAGTCTCTCATATCTTCCTTATCACTCTCTATATATATCTGACATGGTATGAATCACATACCATGCATGACAACGTTATGTGGCTCTTGTGCCGAGTATGGCGTAGAATCGTAGCATAAGTGTTCCGGTAGTCGAAATACAGCACTTTCAGTGGCAGGAAGCACAGATTTGGCTAATAATTGTCTCGAAGCTCAATGTCACACAATATTGAAATGAAAGTCAGACTCACGCTCCGGATCATATAATATAACCGCTGACTTGGATTCTGGTGGGCTTGAAGCGTGATTAGTGTTTGCTGTCACTAGAACTCAAAGAGGGCTTGAGAGTGACGCCAATAAAAGAGGAATGGTGCACAAGTTACCTGGAGATCCAAAGTCTTCAAATGGTGACACTTCTGTTAGTGGTAGCGGGCCTTGATACATGGAAAGAATGAGGGGGAAAGGATGATGACTTCACAGCCAAGGAAGCACCTTAATAAGTATGGCCAATGTATTGCATTACTTCCTCTAAGCTTGAGTAATGCATTTAGATCGTGATAATGCATTTCGATGACAAGTGTAAATGCATTAGTATAGCGATGACTCAGCGATTGATCAATCGATCAGCGCTCAGCCTGCAACAGCACATGCATATGCCAGCAGGCTGCTTCCTCCTAGTTGTCTAATGTCTCAACATCTGTCATTCACAAAACTTAAAGGACGTGGTGCAGCAAAGCGGAAAAAGGTCAATATCTATACCCCCCAGCTTCCAAACACATCAAGCGTTCATGAGACATACACCTTTGTCTCTCGAAAACAAGGGTTCAGAGCACACAGATCTCATGTCACCGTGAAGTCCAGTACATCTTCAATCCAATTCATCGAAGCAATGGACTCGATAATGACTGACTCACACACGAATCACGACTTTTCAGATTTTACTGGTGCGGACATAGAGACTCAATGTTTGGAGACTGAACTTGAAGATGATCCCAAAACCAAACGCACACCTCTTCAATCATGGCAAGCCAAACGCGACACTTTCCTACTTGAGCTTCTGCGGCATGATGGACGGGGTGACTACATGAACCCTTGTGTCTGTGGAAGTTGCCATTTTGGCCTCCCAGAATACCGGTGTATTGATTGCTTCAGCGGGGAATTGTTTTGCTCAGCATGTATTGTGTCTTTGCACGCCAGGAATCCTCTCCATCAGATTCAGGCAAGTTTCTGTATTCATCACCTTGACCATACTTATGTTTGCGCAGAAATGGACGGGATCTTCATTTGCTGCTCTGTCACTCAAACGGCTTGGGCTACGGTTACAACTTGGCCATCCAATTGGAGTGGAGTGCCTATTACCCCAACAGGCGTTTAATGACGACTTTACGCTCATTCACACCAACGGTATCCATGAAATCGGACTTGACTACTGTGGTTGCGACACTGCCCAGACGCATACGACGCAGCTACTTCGTGTAGCTTGGTTTCCAGCAACTATATCAGAACCTCGAACGGCAGCTACATTTCAAATTCTCGAACAGTACCATCTGTTGTCCTTCGAGTCCAAGGCATCCGGTTATGAGTTTTATCACGCAATTGCACGACTTACAGATAATACTGGTCTTCACCCACATAAGGTATGTGATATACTTCTAATCATCTTCTAGCCGCTTAATTCATCGATAGAATCGGTACGTAGCCTTCTTGCGGATGGTTCGAGAATGGCGCCACCTCAAGATGCTTAAACGTGCCGGTCGCAGGCATGATACAACAGGTGTGGAGGGAACGAAGGAAGGAGAATGTGCTGTGGTATGTCCTGCTTGCCCCCAGGCTGGAAAAAACCTACCGGATGATTGGCAGGATGCGCCAGATGACAAGCAGTAGGGATCTTTATCTTAGTGTGTGAGACCTTGATTAATCACTCACGGTTCCATCGTCAGGTGGTTATATTCGCTCTTTGTGGCTATTGACACCAATTTTCGCCTGAAGAGGCATGCTATTTCAAAGGATGGCACAGACCCTGGCCTCAGTCGAGGATGGGCATATTTTGTGGAAGAAATGGCCTACAAATCTCACTTGCAGCAGTATAGCGGCAAGCCACAGGAGGTGCTTTTTTTCACGCTTCTGTTATATATTCTGTCTGACCTCTTGTATGCAGAAGAGTACCTGCTCTTCTCACAATGCTGTTAATATGGCCAACACGAAGGCATCACAAGGCTTGGCTGCAACGGGCATTGGGACGATTGATTGCGCACGACACAACATGAAACTACCGAACGGCGTCGGAGATTTACAGAAAGGCGAGAGGTAAGCCGCTTGCGATGATAAGCTAGCAATACTGTTCCAAAACACTAATCACTACATTCATTTTCAGGTACACAAATATGGACTATCTATTTTTCTCCGCACTCAGTCAACAGCATGTCGATGTTCTCAACATTTCGTATGATATCGCTTGTCAATGGCACAAGCATATCTGGCAGCGCATGTCAACAATGCCGGCTCATCTTCGACTGGATCACGCAAGTAAATTGGTCCGGTTCTTTGTTCCGAAATTCCATTTACCCGCCCACATACTGAAGTGTCAGTCAATGTTCTCCTTCAATTTTTCCAAAAACGTTGGGCGTACCGACGGAGAGGCTCCTGAACGAGGATGGTCAAATATAAATCCTGTAGCATCAAGTACCAAGGAAATGGGACCAGGGTCTCGAAGGGACACCCTGGACGACCATTTTGGCGATTGGAACTGGAAGAAATTAGTTGGCCTCGGTACGTGTTCACTCTAGCATTCCAATGTTAGTGTGATTCTTACTTCATGCTACTGTGTCAGGTGCTACTCTTCTTCGCAAGATGAACGAGGCTAACGAGGAACACGAAGCTCACGCAAATGCTTTTGAAGAACTAAACGGAGCCTTGAAGCCGGAGACCACCACAGGATGGAGAGCAGGTGTTGAGCTTTGGGAAGAAAATCCCAATGACGCGTCTGTGCCCAATCCATTCGAAATGAAGGTTGCCAGTCAGTCAATCACATCTCCGAATGTCGCACAATTCTAATAATTCGACAGCAATCACTCAAGCAGCAGTTCGACTCAAATTGGTCGAGATCGAAGCGCGTCAACTTCGGGAAGGAAACGACATGTTGCTACACATAGACGTATCACCCAGCGTGTTTATCGCAACTGGAATTGACCTCGAAAGTGAACAGTGAGTAGTATTACCATTATTTTGCTGGTTTCGCTAAATAGCCTTAGGCGTCGCTTCAAGTCAGACTTTTCTCTGCAAGGAGCACACCAAACAGATAGGCAGAAGACCATCCTTGTGCGGCAGCGGAATGCCCTCCAGCGCAAGGTGGATGCATGGAAGGGAGTGCAGCTGCTCTACACTCCGGCGGCACAGTTTTTATCATCGCGAATGGAAACCATCGGCATTCCAGACAACCCAGAGGACATCAAGCTATTCTTACCCTCATCATTGACCGCTGACACCATATCCTGCAGCCCCCACCTTCTCACAATTGAGTGGGAGCTTCAAATCGCGCAGGCAGGAGACGCACTGGACGATATCAGACAGAGTCTTCGACTACGCGACTACATGTACACATTCAAACGCAACTGGATTCACGGACAGAGCGCAAACACCCGCGCGCAAAATGCGCTTGGTCGAGTAGAGGCAAGGGCTGCAGCCGCAGCTGACAGATATCGTGCGGCCCATACTGCACTATCCTCCCTCGCTCCTGTTCTAAACAAGGTAGGCTGGAATGTTAAACTTCGCTCACTGAACAACAAAGACGATGTGCGCAGGATGACAGTCCCCAGAAAAGGAGAAAGTGAGGGAAGAAGGCAGCTCTCGTGGATTTGGGTGGTGGAAGGGGTTGGAGATGACGAGGATGAAGTAGTTCAGGATGGTACAGTTCTTCTCTCAGCTAAAACTCGATGCTCACTGGATCAACAGGTCTTCGGGTGGAGTGGTGCAAAGCTCATGCTAGGATGATGCGCTGGAAGGAAGAAATCGAGCTACTGCGGGAAGAAATGCATCGAGTTCTCCAATTTCTCCAATGGCATGCGCTCTGGTGGGACAACATGGCTCATTTGCGCACTCTTGTGGGGGCTGAAAGGGAAGGGGTAGTTGCTTATGCCACTCGCCAGGCTCAAATATGTCGCGACCTCGGTGCCAAGTTTGAGGTTTTGTGGGCACAGCATGTTTCATCGTCATTCCACCTTCCAGATCTTCATACTACACCAGAGATACAGCCTGTTCATTGATGTACTACTAGCTATCATAGAATATAATCTGAATTCTCGCTTGTACGAATCATACTTCTGAAGGGCTACGTGAATTGGTTCCAAGCATTTTTTTCCCTGAGTACTAATGACATCACTCGAGGAGAAAGTGCCACGTGTCCAAAACATATGTGTGATGCATTATCTCACGTCTTGTAGTTACACTCGATTAATGCATTTACCTGCGCCTGGTAGTTACACTCGTTAATGCACAATGGGTAACTTGTAACTACACTACATAATGCATTAATTTGACATCATGTTGTGATCAATTAGTTGACATATCAGTCACATAAGGATTGAACACTACTGAACCAAAGTTCAAAGTTGTATTTCTATAGTCTACATGTAACATGATAGATGGAATCAACATAGATGACAAAGATAGTATTATTGAAAATGAAGTTGTTGGCTATTCAACCTAGGCATACCATTCACTGAGACCACTACTAGCATATTTGACAAAGTTGAATCACATATCACAGTGCAAAGATAATTTTTTTGCCTACATACCCACTGTGTGGGTGTGGGTAGGGGTGTGGGTATCCTAAGTGCCTACCCCCACCCATACCCCAGAGGTACCCACACCCATGACCCACGTGGGTTGAGGATACCCATGCTAATCCCTAAGATTCACACTGTAGATCTCCCCTTTGTCCTTGCCCGATGCATGGCCCAAGTCAGCATGATAGTTGCTGGACTTCTTACTCTCGGTCACAAATAATATGGCACAGTCTGGCGGATGCTCAACGAGGAAATCAACGAGCTTGTTGGTGCGCATAGGGACGTTATGCCACGAAATCGTGGCTGGTGACGAGTCTTGTATATTAGCCCCTCCCCTTCCCCGTCTCCCCCTTCCACGAGTTGGTGGGTCCATTCATTTCCCAGTGTTGTCCTTGCGACACGGTACATTGATGTTTTGAGAGATGGTCTGCAGGCGTGCAGACCGACGAAGTCGTGGTCATAGGGCAGGCATTACATTTCACACTCCGACGACATGCCGATGTTCGCTGTACTTGACTAACCCTGAACTTCAGCGAAACTCAAGATACTTTAGCCGACGTTTCACGGAGCTTACCGAGCTTACCAAGTTTTCAGGAAATTACTTTGAACGCCACTATAATATGCGAAGGTTACGTCGAAGAGGAACACACCGGACACAGCACAAATAAGGTAATACAACACTTACAACAATTGTGCAACAGATCGAGGAACTTGTTAGTTACCTGAGCGTAGATGGCCAAATATAAAATTCAAAATTCAAAGCGCTCAGTCGCCTCACGCTCCTAGCCAGCAGGCTCCAACTCGTCTGCTGCCTCTGCTTTTTGTTTTTCTCGCCGAGTGTTCTCTGTACCATGCCTTCGCTGTTCAGCTGGCTAGCAACGATTTATATCGAGCCGAAGTTTTTCGCGGCTCCTGGTGACTTCTCAGTTTTGATATTTCCATTTTCTAGACTGTCTTTGGCTACTTGGAAACTCGGTGGGTTCCGAGAATCTATCAATTGATGATCATAGGACTAGGTATGATTTCTATTCCATTTTTTTTACAGAGACTCGACGTTGATATTCAATCATCATGGTTATCTCAATTGAGGGCATGGGATCATAACGGACACGTACAGGCCTAGTCATCATAATTTCTTTGCAGTCGGACCATCTGTCACTCGAATCTCGACCCCTCTGAACCATCACGGTGATCGTCGTATCGAAAAGTATGATAAACTACAGTGGAGGTATGGGGTATTTACTGAGGAACAGTCTATGTACGTGACAGTTAACTTGAAGCCGTATGATATACAAACTGAATCGTGAATGTCCAGACTACGAGACATCTACTTCCAACCAAACTACCGTGCGTTAAGAGATCGTTTCGTGTGGTGACCTGACGATCCAGCGTCAGGTATTATCGACAGCCCGCGTGCGGGAGTGGTCCTACGATAAGGATATCTTATAATGTTGCCTTGTTGGCCACTGCGCGAATGGGTCTCTTCGTCGAGGGCTGAAGCGCCCTGCACAGAGTCATCTCGCGCCAAGGGCACTGCAATTCGTACCTTCCTACGAGTCGTGTCCCTATCCTGAATACCCTCCAGTCCAGCGAGAGACTGATGGCGAGACCGCACACCAGTATTGTTCAAGGTGTCTTTGGACTTTGAAATCGTAATTTCCAGGGATGGGCGACCACCGTCCAGCTCGACAGCAGATATGGCTGCATCGTAAACCCATACACCCCCAGCAAGTGGCCCACTGATAGATTTGCGCCTCCCAACGCAGCGTTTCTTCAACACTCGGCTAAAGTCATTCGCAGGTACTGGCAATGCGGGAACTTGTTCTCGGGAAGGCGCTTTCCCCTTGGACTTCGGGTTTATGACGGACTGACTTCTAGACCGCACGATATTCCTCCCTACAACTTGTTCCTTCCCTGTACCCTCCCTCGTCATCTCTTGCTTCCTCTCCGCCAGTGGTTTGAACTGTTCCTTTGACACTTCTACAGCACTCTTCACCTTCTGGGCCCATTCGTCGACGTTGTATAAGTTGTGGAGCATAAGCTTGAATGTAAACGGGTGATGCTCTTCGAGGGGAAACGTAGGGCTCCCTACATCCTCCACATCGTCGATGGTATCCTGTGTCATAGGTGCAATACCGACAGTGTTGCGGCGGGGGCGCCCTATAGGCTTGGGGAGGCGCTTTTGGTCGCGTTGAGCGCGTAAAGAAAGAACAGTAGACAAATTCTTCAGGACTGGTGCGAATTCGGCAGGAACTGATTGGATGTCGTCCATCGAGATTGCTAGTTCCGTAGATCCCCTGGCGCGCCGTGTCGCAATGCGATCAAATAATTCGAAAAGACGAGCAAATTCGGCTGTCTTAGGATTGCCTTTTGTAATGGCAATCGTCATACTGGAGTATAAGTAAACGAGGTTTGAGAGTTGATAAGTGATACTTTCAGAGCCACTTGGGAGTTGTTCGCGCAATGTAGTACGAGAGAGTAACGCGGACGTCAGGTAGTCCTTATAATTTTCTCGGCTACTGAATGGTCACAGTGGATGTATCCAATTCTGTGGACGTCCTTGTGTGATTTGACAATCAGTCTAAGCTGTGGACTTGACCACACTCCATGTGCTGAACTACTCCCGAGTGGCACAATCCATGAGCCCATTGTTCCGAGCCCCTCTGATTCCCTTCTTTCTATCCGATGATGCTATTCTCTTGTCGCTCAAGCCACACCTTGAATCTTTTGAATGATGAGATCGTAGACGGGGACATCGATTGTGTGCAATACATCGTAACAGAATACGGGGAACATTCCATAGACGAAAAGACGCTGCTTTGGGTATGAATGAAGAAGAAACGTTTGCTTATCTGAGTGCGAAATAATTCGCTACCAAGGTCTCCTACGCACTCGCACCCTCCCATTCGCGCGTAAAATGTAGGCTGTAGTCCTCCTAAGCCAATCACCGGCCTTGTTGTCGTCTGGCTCGAAGACCTGAGATGTGAAGAACGAACTCCAGCTGATCGTGCGTAATGTTTTGATTTTCCTTGCGAGCGCGAGACTTGCCTCCAGCTCTCGTGTGCGTACTTTGGATGCGGATCCGAAAAGCTTGCATGTACGGCAGAGCTCTGGGCCATGAGGAAAGGGCAAATCTTCCGTACAGGTTCCGGAGTGAGACTCTTCTTTTTTGTCATCTTGGTCTACTGAATATGATATGTGTCCAGTGGTAGTCTCGGTTTCCAATTGACTGAGGATGTTTCCGGTGGGTGGAGATGCAGCTTTGGAACTGAACGCTATTCGGTGCGTATGGTCGAATTCCAATGGGGTGTCGTAGTGCTCGATATGCTTTTCCACCAGTTCCTCATCTGAAAGAAAAATGCCAAGGTGAAGATCAGTCAACTGGGTCAGTGGTTCCAGCGAATCCGCGAAGTTGTCCTGTCAAGCGTCGGATTTTGTTGAAAATAAGGTGACACAGCTCATCGTACCGTCAATTTCGTGATGTCACTGAAGTAATTCGGGATTGGCGAGTGCACGACTGCAGTTGAGCTTTCTTCAAAGCAAGTCCAGCAGCAGGAGACGTCTAGCTGTTCCGAGCAACTGAGGTGCAAAACCTTCACAGAAGGGAACGCAGATGCAACGGTTTTGAGCAAAGGTACGTCAATTCGCCAGAGCTTTGTCATTGTGAGAGACGTCAGTTGAGGAGGAAACCACGGGACCAGGGGGATTCCCGGTGGGGAGAAGATGCGCTTGAGTCGGGTTGTCTGAGATTGTCTTCCGTCCGATGAGAAAGAGATCATCAGGTGTTTCAGGTTCCTATAGAGAGATGGACTCCATGATGCTGCTTCAAGAGCATGCGATGGTGCTATAAGTGTTCTGTCAAGTTTATCGGTGAGTGTGTGAGCATATGTGTGAGAAAACGCACTTGACGTAGTTGAGCCCAACACTATCGCCCGGGGCATTACGGGAAACCAATGAGAAGTGAAAATTTGTATATGCAGCAAGTTGCTTTGCAGACGCAACGCGAATGGAAGAAAAATAATGACGCAGAGCGACATGTCTAAATTGAGAACAGACCAAAGAGAACGAGTGGACATGGAAGAAGCAGCCAGATGAGCAAGAGTCGAACAAGAAAGAAGCGATGTAATCGACGACCTCGATCGGAAGTTGAGATGTCTTTATGTGAGTGATTTGGTCTGCTGCAAGGACTCGGATGTCCTTGTGGTGGCTTTCGCGTTGTTCTGGAGCTGGCGAGGTGAAAGTATGGGTATATGCACTTGGAGAGCTATGAACCAGTGATTCAAGATCATCTTCGTCGAAATCGTCTTCAAAATCAGAGCTCTCCATGACGAGGTTGTGTCAAAACTTAGAGACATCCGAGTCGTTGAAGGACGCGTACGAACTCGGATAACCATAACCATACAATATCAGGGGTGTCACGTGTATACTAAATTAACAGTGATCACGTGAATGGGTGATGATGAATTGCAGTTTCGACT